ACTTGAGGTGGCAGATACAGTGCAACACATTATCAGAATGTCTACTTGATGAACCTGGATAAAACTCATCATTTCTGCCAATAAATGGATTCTATAAACATGAAAAAAAACCACTTTAGAACGTGGCCTCTGGGTTCTGCTATTGTCATCTAAAAGGAGAAATATATTATAATGGTTAGGGGAATAAAGGTACTCTACAGCAGGTTTTTGTTTAAGAGCAAGAGTTTTAAATGTCTACTTTTTCGTAAATTTTCTTGAAAGGAAATCACAATGATTTCTATACCATGATTTTTCCTATAAAACCCGAAAAGGCAAACGAGTGTAGTATGCTTTGATTATGGGTTTTTTAGTGGGTGGAAAAAGGTGGCAGAATTTTTCTAAGCAGGTAGATTGTAGTCTACCAACAAATATGCTTTATTGCCAATTGTGGTAATACAAGTGAGGACTGAAGTAGGTGGCAATGCCAGTAGTGACCTTAATATGGCAGAAATCAGAGAATTAAGGTAACGAAACAGACTCAATTATTCTACACATGATGGTTACTTTCAGTATTGACACAGTTTTTTTTTTCTCCTGTCCATTCTTTTGAATCTTGCTCCTAATAACAACCACAAGAATGAGAGTAGATTGGTCCTCATTATGGAAATGGTAGTGTGGTACAAGCTGAACTTGGTCCATTCTTTCCTTTGGATTACCAAACAATGGGTCATAACGACTTTAGATGCTATAAGCCTTGACTGTATTTGAAAAAAACAGTGGTAATCTTTCACATTAAGAATCTTACTGTCCTATGTCCCATTATTTCAATCTGCTTCAGCATAAGAAAAGTGAATGCTTCATTTTGCTGTGTTATATTACCAATTTCCCTCAGTAAGGAAGTCAGCTCTTTAGATTAATTATGGCATTTAATAATGGTAAAACAATCCACGTATCTACTTTATAAATCATGCTTGTTCAGCAGTGTTTCTTATTTCTCCACTAAGATTTTAAAAAAGCCCCCAGTCCAATAGCATTACAACAATTGTTTCCTCTGGAAGACCCACAAATATGACTGGCTTCATACCACACAAACTGCTTGACTGAAGAGAGGTATCACCCACCTATTTATCACCACCCAATGCTGCCATGTAAGGCTGAAAGAATTGCAAAAAAAGTTCCAGAACTGACAGGAATCTCTATAAACTTTGTTCTCTAGGAGACATAACAATAACATTCAGCCCAAATTAAGAAGTTTTTTGGTCTTAGATTGGTTCAAACCATTCTGTGTGCAATTATACTGGGCCTTCTGTTTTTCAGTAATCAAAGTATTATGAAAGGTGTTTTTCATAGTTCATAAAGCTCTAGAGAGGAACATAGCTTGAAGCTGAGTACAGCTACCAAACATAAACAATCAATCTTTTGCTAATTGTAACATTCAAGCTTAAGTCAAAATACAAACCTCCCATACAGCTGCTTCTTCCTAATGCCTTTTAAAAGCTGTAATCAGTTTGCAATGTGTTTCCTCCTCTTACTTTTTCTTTGCCTGCTGAATTTACACTTACTAAATTGTCAAACTCAGGCTTCAAGGAATGAGTCTGAGAGTGAGAGAGACAAATTTTTCTGGTTTTGTTTGTTTCTTCACCTTTTAGTTTTTCAATATGGTGGCTGTCAAGAATCAGTTCTGCTTTGGAAAAATATCACTAATTTATAGAGATGGTCAGTTCAAATTGGGGCATTCAATGACCTGCAATGTTACCAGGAAAGGTTGTAGTTAGTAAGAAAATTTAAGTCTATTTACTTGGGGTGGGCCACAGTAGGAAATACTCCCAAAATATAAGGAGCATTATCCAGGTAGATTTTCAAAGTGAACTGATGTGGGCCTTGAGACAGGTCAGCTGAAGAAAAGTCAAAGTAGATTCACCAGTAGCAGTTTATTTCAAGGGCTACAGTGTGGCAACTCTGCAGGGAAGATGATTACCAAAACAAAACCACATCAGACCCCAAGGAAACCAAAAATACAGATATTTAGAAAATTATAGCCTTAAAAAAACCAATCAAGCAAAAAAAAAAAAACAACCAGAGATAGAGGTCTGTGTTACGAAAATCTAAATTGTGCAGAAGAGATGTTGGAACTGATTTTTGGACAAGCTAAACATCATTGTACATGAAAATCCTTAATACCTGGATTCTTTTTGGAACTATTTTAGTATAGCACGGACACTTTGCTCTCATGCTGCTGATACATGAATTAAGGATAGAGTAACTCTATGTCATCTTTCATTGATACCTATCACCCGTCACTAAAACAGCATTGAAAAGTGCTGAGATACAAAATTAATGCAATCGTTTTCATGGAAAATCGAAACAGAATTGTTTTTATTTTTTTATTACCTACCAAATTCTGACACAGAAAAAGTAAGAGAAGTCTGATAATTGCCACTATAAAACATTAAACTCAGAAATAATAATAATAATAAATGCATCTACTTTTACTTCAAAATGGAGAAAATGGGCTATTTAGATGAGTCTGCATCTTGAGGGGACATTTTCCTTTATATATGAAGAAAAGTGTAAAGTTAGGTGTATTATATACTAATTCTCACAACCCAAAAGACACAGCTGTGCTTTAAAGACACAGTAGTGAAATTGTAATTACCTAATTTAGCTTGGTAAGAGCTACTTTTTCTTGGCTTTTTGCCCAGAAAACATTTATTCCTTCTGCAAAAACAGTGTAGCAAACTCTAAAATAAAAAAGGAACACATTACAGAGTTAAAAAATACATTGATTATAAATGTAACATACTTTAGGATTACTGCCTTCAGGAAGAGAAATTTGCATTAATCTGTACAAAGTGAATAATATCTTGATAGTCAAAAAAAGTGAAATCCTCGGTTTAGTGACAAAATGAGAGCAGGTCCTCTGGCCTCACAGTGTGTTTGAAAACCATCCCAGAAAGAATCTTCCGAAGTTCTGAGAATCTGAATGATCACGTTCAGTATTACAGAAACCAACCAGATAACTACTGACTAAAACTTTAAAGAACTTCTTGAATTATTAATAGTAATATTATCAATATAAAATAATGAAAAGTTTTTCTTAGTGAGATTTTTTTCCCCTTTTACAACCAAGAAGAAATTCTACCATCTGGCTGACCTATATAACGGTCTTTAGCTGGGATAATACTTCAGTATATTAACTAATGCAAAAGACAAGCCTTTAATTGTGTTTGGTTGCTGAGGATGAATATTTCAGAAACTTCCCTCAAACTGTCAAATTTTGTAATGTCTAGGCATAAGTTTCGGTTCTTTTATTTATTTATTTATTTATTTATTTATTTATTTATTTATTTATTTATTTTGCATAGCATAGCTTGGAAAAAGATATAAAGATGTATGTTATTTATGAAAAAAATCACGTTCTATAGCCATTTTGGGAACTTTACAGTCAGGTGTAATGGGACATAGAGCCATAAAAATATCTTTTTATTTCTTACTAATATTTTGGTGAGGCACTGGCACAGGTTGCCCAGAGAAGCTGTGGATTTCCCATCCCTGGAAGTGTTTGAGACTAGATTGGATGGGACCCTGAGTAACTTGGTCAAGTGAAAGGTGTCCCTGTCTATGGTAGGGGGTTGGAACTGGATGATCTTTGAAGTCCCTTCCAACCCAAACCATTCTGTGATTCTGTCATTCTGTGATCTTAAGTTTCTTCACGAAGTATGGAATATGAAAATTGCTACAGGATACTGTTCCAGCACCATAATTCTAAACTTTTTTCATTCTATGCCTTTTAATGTTCTGCTCATTAAGTAAGTATTCTGTTAGGTATGACAGCGTTCTGTTCACAAGACAGATTCAGTAGTAAAATGAACCAGTTGTTTCCCCGGTTCATCCCAGTGTGGTGTGTCATTCATGACTTGGCTGCTTCCCCTTACTTTGGCCACTTTATGCCATGACCTCTCAGCACTTTGCAGCAACTGCTCAGAGGACACAAAGGCTTACCTCCAACTGCCCAGCCCCGGGGCTGGTGTGATCTTCACTGCCCAGCCTGCTCCTGATTTGTTTCAATATTTCTCAGTACAAGAAAGACATGGAGCTACTGGAGAGGGTCAACAAAGGGTCACAAAGATGATAAGGGGTCTGCAGCACTACTCTGATGAGGAGAGACTGTGAGAGCTGGGCCTGGTTAGTCTAAAGACTGAGAGAGGATCTCACTAATGCATATAAATATCTCAAAGGCAGGTGCCAAGAGGATGGTGCCAGACTCCCTTCAGTTGTGCCCAGCGGCAGGACAAGGAGCAATAGCCATAAACTAAAGCACAGGACATTTAATCTCAACACGAGGAAGAACTTCTTTACATTGAGGGTGGCACAGCGCTGGCCAGCTTCCCAGGGAGGGCACGGATTCTGGAGACATTCAAAACCCACCTGGACGCGTTCCTGTGTCACCTGCTCCAGGTGACCCTGCCTTGGCAGGGGGTTTTGGAGGTCCCTTCCAACCCTATGGATTCTGTGATTGTTTCCTAGGATGACACGCACGGCAGGCAGCCGGTGCTGCCCGCACTGGCCGCTGCGTGCCAGGCACCGAGCCTAAGGCCAGGCTGGGTGAGCAACCACTGCCCGAGAACCAAAGGGGCAAAGGCTCCATCCAGGGCCGGGGCTGCTCCGACACCGGCGCCAGGCGGTGATTCCAGCGGCGTCGGGATTCCAGCTGCCCCGGGAAGGCACGATGAGGAGCGGGGGGGCCCCGACCCGGCCGGGGACGAACAGCCCCTCCCGCGACCCTGCGCCGGGGTGCGGAGGTTGCTGCCGATTTTAGGAGCTCTCAAAACACGGAAACAGAGTCTAGTTTGGAAAAGAGACATTATTTATTCTGCCCAAAGTGCAAGGTGAAGGTTTCCCCAGCTCAAGCACGCCACGGGGTAAAAAGTTGCACCACTTATACAGTGAAATTCACATAATCCCGCCTATCTAATACATATTCCCCGCCTACCTAATGCATATTTATTTGGGTGATGTAATCTTACGCAATGCCCGAAACACAAGGTTCTTTCCTTCATTAAGCAACTCCTATTGTAGAAGTTATCTGACGACATCGGTTACGTTTACAGAAGGTGAGAAAATCCCTCCCGGGGACAGCCAATTCAGCTCGAAGGCACCAAGGTGACCCCGGCTCGGGAGGCGGGCGGGGAGCGCCGGGAATGCACATCCGGGTGAGGAGCGCCGGGACCGCCGGCAGGGCGGCGGAATCGCCCCCGCCGCCTCCGCAGGGCCGCCGGAGCGGGGCAGGGCTGCTCCCGGCGGGACCCCCCCCTGCCCGCCCCGGCGATGCGGGAACGGAGCTGGGGGCGTGCAGCGGGCGGTACAGCCCGGCCGGAGAGGGGGTGCGGGGGGTGGTCCCGGCCAGGTCCGACTTCACTTGCCTTCCCCTGCCATCCCCTGCCATCACCTACCTCGCCCTCCTTCACCTGCCTTCCTCTGCCTTCCCCTGCCATCACCTACCTCACCCTCCTTCACCTGCCTTCCTCTGCCTTCACCTGCCATCACCTGCTTCCCCCTCCTTCACCTGCCTCCCCCTGCCGTCTGCCTTCACCTGCTTTCCCCCTGCATCCTCCTCCACCTGCCTTCTCCTGCCTTCACTTGCCTGACTCCCCCTCCAAGCCCCTCCCTGTGCCACAGCACAGATACCCATGTGCGGTGGTGGCTGTTCTTAGTGATGTGGCGTAAGGGTCACTGCCAAAGGGGATTTTAGAAGTAGTTTAGAGGAGTAGCAGGGGCCTGCCTGCTTTCCCTGCACCAGAAAACTGGTATCCCTGTCAACAGGAGGTGAACCCTGTGATTAGTTCTCTAGCCCAGAGGTTGGGAAGTCCTGGCTGTGAGTTCTCTGTTTCTTCGCTTTCCAAGACTGAAGTGTACATGGCCAAGTTTTCAAACATTGTCCAGAATCATTAATTGTGGTGAACTATCTTGTCTGATTTTTCAGAGGTGCCTAATATCTGTTACTATAGATGAAGTTAGGTGTTGAAGTATTCCTGAAGATCTCTCTGAATCTTCAGGCACCTAAAACACTTTCTACAAATCTGGTCTTTAAACAGATTAATTTTTGAGGCTTCTGATATGTATAGTAGGGTGGACTGTGTCTTCCTGATACCTCAGCACCTGAGGAGAGGCTTCAGTGGGATACTCTTGAACTCTTACTGCAGCTTTGGTTCTTCTCAGGACGCTACAGTTTATAAGCAATTTTCCTTTCCTGTCTTAGCAATTCCTTTTTGCCTATGAACTGCACATTGTGAGTGCATCTTTTGGCCCCTCACTGCAGTATTTTAATGGAGCTTTGGGTAGTTTTTGTCACAGTGCTTGAACACCTCTCTCAATAGACTTGCTTAATTATTTTTGCTCTCGTTGCTTTCTGGTCATTTTGCTTTTTGGCTGTTTTTCTTTCTGCTCTTCCATGTACATTTTTTAAACCTGTGACTTTGTTCTGAGTACCTCCACATCCATGGATTGAATGTCTAAAGTAAATGTTGGTGCTGTTGTTGTAAATACTTCACTGTCAGTTCCTCAGTCCCTAATGGTCTGCTGACCATTCTCAAACACAGTTTGCAGGACAGACAATGTCTGTTAAGTGCAGTGGTGATCTTCCTGCTGGTAGGACTTGAAATAACAAAATCACAGTACTGTTCAAACAGGTGATGCCTGAATGCTCAATGGAGAGTAGATAATCCCAGAGCCTTTTTCAGAACCTCTTAAAGAGATTCTTGAGAGTCTGGTGCTATTTTGAAAGGGAGACAATTAAATACAGGAGACTAGGAGATTAATCTATGTGCTCTGTGCCTCAACACCTTGTGCAGAACTGCACCAATAATGCCTTCTGCTGTTAGCCTGGGACATTACCTTAAAGCTGAGAGGGTGTCTTACTGTAGCTGAGTTGAGGAAGTAGGTGAATTGTGTACACACCATGTTGAGACAACGAGCATCAAAATAGGATCTGTCACCTTTGGATGTGTTTTTATCCAAATCGTTAACTGATCATTGCTATAGTTTAATTTAAGGCTTCTTTCAAGTTTCATTCCACCTAGAATTATTGAAAACTGAGCATACCTGGGGACACATTTGCTTCTGTCATGGTCATACATAAACTTCCTCAAGGCCCTTGATTTGAAGCTGTGTGAGGAGCAGCTGAGGGCACTTGGTCTGTTCAGCTGGAGAAGAGGAGACTGAGGGGAGACCTCACTGCAGTTACAACTTCCTCCTGAGGGGAAGTGGAGGGGCAGGCACTGGTCTGCTCTGTGGGGACCAGTGACAGAGCATGAGGGAATGGCCTGAAGTTGGGTCAGGGGAGGTTTAAGTTGGATATTAGAAAAAGGTTCTTCCCCCAGAGGGTGGTTGGGCACTGAACAGGCTCCCCAGGGCAGTGGGCACAGCCCCAAGGCTGACAGAACTCAAGGAGTGTTTGAACAATACTCTCAGGCACATGGTGGGATTGTTGGGGATGGTCCTGTGGAGAGTCAGGCGCTGGACTTGATGATCCTTGTGGGTCTTTTCCAACTCAGGATATTCTCTGATTTTGTGATTTGGAGACATTGAGCAGTCCATGCCCCACTAGAACTCTCAGTGCAGTTCAAGTTCTTTATATTAATTACAGGCTCCTTCACTGTTTTCTGCATGTCTTTGACACCAGGGACTGTCAGGCCAACTTCATGTTTCTTTCCAAGTGACACAACTACTGCCAGAGTTTGGTGAAGAATCTTGCTGCCTAGACACTGTTGGCTGTTTCTGTGGTGTCAGGCTGATGATAGCTACATTGATTTGGAAGTGCCAAAACAGAGTTATGCTGGAAAGCATACTTCTGGTCCAGAGGAATTGCAATCTTAAGGGCAATAACTGGCATTCTCCAAATGTTTACAGAACTGCTGAGACATCTAAGTTTGGTGTCTATCTGAGCAGTTGGCTGGGTTCCTCCTGGCTTACTGAAAACCCAACTTCCAGGAAAACTTGCAACACCAAATGGAAAAAAGTTTGTGGTATGATGGAAACAACCTTTTTGTGAATCTTTAAATGTAAAGTTCACACCACCTTCTTGTTCATGTTCATTTGAGTCCATCCAGGTACACGAGGTTTGTGTCTGATATGCTTGGGTGTGTTTTGTAATCTGCTGTTGTCCAGTTGTGCAATGTTTGATGCTTGAATGCCCTTTACAAGAAAGTTCTTTCTGCTTATGTAAAACTGATTTGATCATAATAATGAAGGGGAAAAAAAATCTTCTTAAACCAATCTTGATATGTTTTCAGCTATGTTTTTTCTTCTGTGTTGGGCTTTTCCCCCAGCACACTTGAGGTTTTGGGCTGCAGACTAAATTTTAAGTCATGCAGACTTAAAACATTAGACACTTAAGACATTTAAGTGCAGTGTAAGTGGCAGATTATCTAAGTGTTGCAGGGTAACTTTCAGACGTATTTTATCACATTACCCTTCTTTACTTTGTTACTTTGATATTTATAATTGCAAAAATGCACCAGAAATTCAAAGTGCAGGGGTTGTTTTTCTGTTTTGTCTCTCTTGTACTTCTAAGGACTTAAGATTTATGTGGAAGTAATCTTTGCTTGTGTTAGTAAAAATAAATACCTTAAATTTGAGGGATGGATTTAGCTTTTCTGATAAGTCCTATTGCAACCCCAGTCTTCCCTTATCTCTTTGCATCCCTTAAGCAAAGATACCTGCTCTCCAGACCTGAGTCTCCAAAAGTGGTGCTACTTTTACAGATGAGAATTAAATGAATTCTGGGAGTTCTGTCCAATCTTTCCATGAAACCATTAAACCATTAAAAATGTAAATTCCATCATAGGGTATGCTAGAAGAAGCAGAATTACCCATAAATTTATTTCTAAGCAATCACAGAGGACCTTTCGAATTAAGAAAAAAGTGAATTGATTTTTTTTACTTTACATGTACAAGTGGTGATGGATATTTCTAAAGATATTTTTTGGGATGTCATTTTCATTGAACTCTTCTGCAGTTTTCCAGCAGCTGGATGTGGCATCTGTGTCTACCTTAAGTTTGTTTGCATACATGACACTAATATTTCCTGTGATCACATTGTTACAGACACTGTCTAGTAAACTTTCCAGTCCTTTGAATCAGAGCTAGATAAATGGGCATAATATTTATAAAGCCATTTTGAATCCTCAGAAAGAGAAATATTTATCCTACCTGTATAATGCCAATAAAAGAAAAACAGGTTTTGCTATTTGTCATTGAAGTGATAAAAAATCAGGTTTTGTGTATCTTTCAGAGAAGAACTGGGAAATGACATGAGTTTAAGTTGTTGATTCCAGTCAGTATAAAATGTCTCTTCTATTATATTTGCACAAAGTTCTAAGAAAATCAAGCATGTCTAAACTACAGTGCTAACTTAGTACAAATAAAAAGATCTGAAGTCTCAGGTATTTTATGGAACTCTGAGGTCTTTAAAAACCCTCACTTACTGAAAATTATATAAGGCTAAATTCTGATTTTTAGGGTTCCCACTAGCAACTCTGGTAATAGTTTTCACCTCTTTAGCACTTTTCTTGAACAAAGAACCAAATTTGAATGTTTTACCTAATCTTTGTGAATCTCCCTATCTGACCATAATACTCAAATATTAACTAGTTAGGTACGTTTGCAGTTGCAGTGAAATGTTGGTCAAGTCTTGACCAATTTTTCCACCTTCAGATAGACTCCAGGAATATTGCCTCTCATTTTAGTGCAGCCCTTTTAGAAAAGATGGCAAATTTTTGTGCGTATATAAAAACTGATTTTAGGTGACTATGCAACAGAAATGGTTGGGCCTTTTTGTTTGTTTGTTTTAGGAAAAAAGTAATTAAAATAATTATGCCGGTTTAAGGGGTGGTTCCAAATTTTGACTTTTGCTTCTATTCATCTTTCCTTTGGATTATAAGGCTGTAGCAGATGTGTACAGGACAAAGCAATCTGTACAGAAGGGTGGATTACTTGTAATCCATGGAATACAGTTGGAATCTGGCACTAAGGGCTGACAGCATTTAAAACTATTTTCTTTGGAGAGTAAGGATATAGGGTGTGCAAGCACATGTTAAGGTACAAAACATCCAAA